AGAGAGAAAACAGGAAAAGTCAACTTTATTTCCAGATGAAGTTTTGCAGATGACAAGCTTGGCTGCCGAAGGCTGTCAAATGAATTTCGCACCGCAGTTGAGCGAAGCGGCTCCTCCTAAGCACACTGGAGAGGGTTGGGTGCGAAGGGGCTCGCCGGGGAAACCGTGACACAGCCCAATATATATATATATTTCTCCCAAATTAATATCCCAGACACGAGGTTGACAGAACAGTTCTAAAGACCGGTTCCGCCAAGCAGGATCTGACATGTGCCAAAAAGATCGTTGTGAACGAATTAGGTCTTCCAGAAACCCGCGGGCATCTCCGCGTCTCCACCGCTGCGCTCCGGAAGCCGGTGGCCAGGCAGCGCCCGGGTCCCCGGCCTTGGCGGCACCAGCAGCCGCCGAGGCTCCCGTGTCCACGTTCGGGTAGACCTGTGCTCCTTCCTCTCATTTTCGGGGCTCCCGCCGCTGTCCCCCAATCACGCCTCGCGCGCGCGCGCGCGCAACCGCTCCTCCCGTTCACTCTTCGGGCCGCGCCGGCGGGTCCAGCCCGCAATCCACCCGCATCTCCAACTAGGAGTCAATCCCTGTGTGCCATCCGCGCGTCCCCGCCGCCCGGATGCCCTGGATCTCTCCGCACTGCCGCGGACGCACGCACGCACCCATCCCGCCCAGATACATTCCAGGCGCGGGGCTGAGCTCCACCCGGGGCCGGCCGACGGGCTAGGACCTCCTCGCCATCCATAAACTCCTCCTCGAGTTTCGTTTCCGCCAGCCATTGATAGAATGCGGATACCTGTTTGGGCGCTGGCGCCTGCGCCCGCTCGCGCGCGCGCGCGCTCTCTCTCCCTCTCGCTTCAAAAATTCGATCTTTGCTCCTCTGCACCAAGGTGCACAGACGCCCAACAGTGATGAAATGAAAAGAAAGCCAATTGCCGGACTGGAGGTGGGGGAGAGAGCGCGTCTCTGCGTGCGCCCGCCGCCGAGCTCGGAGTCTTTAATTGCTGCAGACAGGGCGCGCGGGGGGTTGGGCGGAGGTAGCCGCGTATAAATAGTGAGATCTCAACTAGAAAGGCATAAATAACGGCAGGAGGGACCTACCCTCACACGGACCGTCGTCTCCGCGCGGGGAGGCGTGCGGACCACAGCCCCGGCTCCCAGCCAGCCCCG